CACGTTAAAGCTCTCATTGCAACATTTTTTGAGTTTGATCAATATGTTTGATGCAGTAATTGATGTACTTGAAGTTATTGGCCGCGATGCTTCAAGTACAAGTTATCGAACAAAAACACAAGACATTGTTGATAGGCTTTTGTCATTTGATTTCGTATTGAGCATTTTTTTTTATGAAAAAAGGTATTGACGATCACAAATGAGCTATCTCAATCACTTCAAAGGAAAGATCAAGATATATGTGAATGGAATGAGATTTGTTCAAGTGTCAAAGATTCAAGTTCAATTCTTTAGAGAAAGAGGGTTGGATTTTTTGTTTGGAAGTGTAACAATATTTTGTAAGAAGCACAAAATTGATGTTCCTCAAATGGATGCTCAATATATTGCTCGAGGACGAAGAAGACGGAATGAAGGAAGAAATGACAAATCTACATCATTATAAGGTTGCGACGTTTTACACTATTTTGGATATGCAACTTGGAGAGCTAAATGCTCGATTCTCTGATTCGACAATGGAATTGTTTGTGTGCATTGCTTGCCTTGATCCATCTAACTCATTCTCTCACTTTGACAAGGAGAAATTACTCTGTCTTGTTGATTTTTATCCATAAGACTTCACCGTACTCGACAAATGTGAGTTCATTGATCAGTTTGATACTTAGATTGTTGATATGCGCTTAATCAGTGAATTTCAGGGGTTGAATAAAATTAGTGATCTTTTTCGCAAAATGGTAGGAACTAGGAGAAACAAGGTGTATCCTTTAGTTTAGTTGATTTTGACTGTGGCATTAATGTTGTCGGTTGCTACTGCTACATTCAAGAGGGCATTTTTAGCTATGAGTATCACAAAGAGTAAATTGCGCAGTCGGATGAATGATGAATGGTTGAGAGATGCTTTGTTTGTCTTTATTAAAAGAGATATTCGTGTGAGAATTGACAATAACACAGTTATGAATAATTTTCAAAACATAAAAATTCAAAAGAGCCGGTTGTAATATGTAAAGAGATTGCATGATTATATTTTGGAATGCAACTTTTAAGAGTTTGATTTATGCCAATTAGTTAGATTATATATTTATTCACTTGTTTTGTGCTACTTAATCTTTTGGGTAAATTCCACTTTACCCCCTCGTACTCTGCCCGAGAATCACTTTACCCCCTCGTACTCTCAATTCCATCGATTTACCCCCTTGTACGTGTACAATTTCCCAATACAGCCCTCTCCGTCAACTTTTTTTGATTTTGACTCTGACACCGTTTGGTCAACTCTGTAAATTACAAAATTGCCAATAACATGTCGTTTCTTCTCCGTCAATATTGTCGTTTCTTCTTCTCCCACCACTTTCCCTTCCAAGATATCCCCAAATTGAAGCCCTAACTTAGCAAAAATCAAGACCCAAAAATTGATCGATTCCACACAGTGCAAAGAAAAAAAATATATGAATGTCTGAAACTTTCTCTTTTCTAAACTCGAGTGTCAAAATCGAAAAAAGTCAATATTTACGTCAATATTTTGACTCTGACCAAACGGCGTTAGAGTCAAAATCGAAAAAAGTTGATGTAGAGGGCTGTATTGGGAAATTGTACAAGTACAAGAGGGTAAATCAATAGAATTGAGAATACGAGGGGGTAAAGTGATTCTCAAGCAGAGTACGAGAGGGTAAAGTGGAATTTACCCTAATCTTTTTCCGGAGGGGGGGTGTTTGCCCCAAACCCCCAATATATATAAGCCCACCCTCACAAAAATTTCTGGCATCGCCCAGTGGTGATTAGTGTTACCCATCAATATTTTTACCCAACATTAAATATTCCTTCCCAACCTATTTGTCAAACCCATCTAACCAAAAAAAACCCCTGGTGCATGTGCATCAGTGCATGGGTGGTATCTATGTCTAAGAATTTTTCAAAATTAGGGTGTGGAGAGCCACTTTATTCCCATGGGGACTGAACCGTTAAGTAAACTATGATATAGGGCTTAAACGTCTTTTCCTCAATAATTGAAGGGTGAAAGGGCAGAATGAAGTAATTTTATGAGAAAAGATTTGCACTTTCGCAGGGGTTTATGCACACACTCGCAGACTCTGCTCCTTCTTCATCGTCTCTCCTCCCATGGCGGGGTTTTAGTTTTTTAATTCCTTCTCCCTTCAAAGAAAAATGGCACTCTCAAATCTTCTTCTGCGGCGCCTCAAATGTTCAGAAATCTTCTCCCTTCGTCTCCTCTCCCAAATTCCAAACAGAGCGAACTTCTCTTCGCTCTCCAACTCGGCCGAGTCGACTCACCAGCCCCCTCCCACCCCCAAACCCACCTCACTCTCCGCTCGCATGAGCTTCATTTTCGAACAAATCGACGAAATCGACAAAAAACACGAAGACAAGGACGAAACCCTCCAGCGAATCCGCGCTTGGCGCGAATCCAAGAAACAAATCAACAGCCCCAGTTCCGGCCCGGCCCCGAACCGGCCCGAACCGGACGCGATGGAGGATTTGAAGTCGGAATTGGTTAAGAGTGAATCCTTTTTGGGGAGTGGTGATGTGAAGGAGGAGGTGGAGTTGGTGCACCCATGGGCGGAGTGGATAGAGTTGATGGAGAGGCTTGTGCAGCAGAATTACTTCGATCACAGAAGGAAGGACGAGGATGGTATGATGGAAGGTTTGGGTATCGATTTTTCGGAGGGTTCGAAGATGGAGGATAAAAGGCTCGACTTTGCTCGGGATTTCCGGACCGTGCAGGATGCTGTCATCAACTTCGGCCGCGATCGATTCGATATATTGAGGTTTTGTTTGCTTCAATTTGATTGTATGTATAGTTTTCATGCATTTCGTATATGTATTCGGTGAGCGCATGGTGTTTGACGAAATGTCTCTGAGAAATATGAGATTGTTTTTTTGTGGTTTGTTTTAGTTCTGTAGTTTGTGCTTTTAACAAATATGAAACATGCCATTAATCAT